TTTTCAGTATCACTGTAGGTTACCTACTGTACGGTCTGCTGTTTCTTGTAACACTTGTTTAAATACATAAGAACAGTTTTCAGTATCACTGTAGGTTACCTACTGTACGGTCTGCTGTTTCTTGTAACACTTGTTTAAATACAAAAGAACAGTTTTCAGTATCACTGTAGGTTACCACAGTAACACCTACTGTACGATCTGCTGTTTCTTGTAACTCTTGTTTAAATACAAAAGAACAGTTTTCAGCATCACTGTAGGTTACCACAGTAACACCTACTGTACTGTCTGCTGTTTCTTGTATCACTTGATTTTTTTATGAATCTCCAGTTGCCTGACCAGAAATGTTTTGTTGTTTGAGGAAAAGTTGCGTTAATGATTGACGTCCTTGGGAGAAGTTTCGTTGAGTAAAGTTTAACTGTCGACCAAGCGTGAAGGTTTTAATTCAGTTCTCAACACTTTTTTCCAGTCTTAGAAGTGATATTTTACAAGATTTGTATAAAGTAAGTCGAAAATAAAGATGTTCGTATCTATTCGTTTTAAAACCATCACTATATCGGTATAAATCATCAAATTAAGTAAACCAGAGATCACGCGGAAATGTGTTTCGTCTAAGGTTAGCGTTGAAATCTGATCTCGGCTATTTCTTATCAAATTGTAAGAATAATTTCAAACTTTTTTTGCTTCTTAAGCTTAGTGGAAGAGGGAATTTCACAAAGTGATCAATTGAGAACTCTTCGTCAGTGTGTGGTCTTATTTATTCGAATTGCGCTTATCCAAATCTACTACTGATAGGGGGTGTAATTCCCCAAAACCGATATAACCCAGTAACAAGTTTTAAATCAGTTTTATTGTTAAACGTACATGCTGGTTATCATACTGTAAGGTCAGGAGTGTAGACTTACCTAAATATTAGCGACTTTGAATCATAGATCAGGACCGGTGCTGCTGAGTATTAGCGTTTTGAATCGTAGGTCAGGAGTGTAGCTGTACCTGAGTATTAGCGCTTGATAGTACACATTGTCTATGAAAGCTAGTGTTAACACTCTAAAGTATGCAGTGTTTATATAAGTAACTCTTAACAGTGTGAATTGTTTATTAAAGAGTACCTGTACCTGTACCTGAGTATTAGCGCTTTATAGTACACATTGTCTATGAAAGCTAGTGTTAACACTCTAAAGTATGCAGTGTTTATATAAGTAACTCTTAACAGTGTGAATTGTTTATTAATGTTCGTATTAGCGCTTTAAGCTACACATTCTTCAAAATTCTTCCAGCCATGTATATATATAAAATGGACGATTCGATACTTTCGGCATATAATTAGATTAGAGGGTAGGTCGGTAAAGATTCTGATGAGTAATAAAATCGAACCGGGTATACAAAAATCATAATCAAAATCCTGAATAAAACTAAAAATAGTTCAGAAACGATGCAAGAAAGAAAGCGTTGCTTAGCAAGAGAAAGAAAAAGTAGATGGATGTCGCGACAGTATCAAGAAAACTTAAAAATTAGGATAACAAGCAGAAAATTGTCAGGACCAAATGAAGCTCCTGAAGAAACAAAGTGAGGACAATTAATGTTGAAAGACATGCAAATAGGTCTGGCCCCTGTATGTCTAGTTGTTAAACCTAGTCACTACCCTAAACTGAAGTGTTCATAACGAATCTCGATATTAAACAGGGAAATAACAATATTGTTGTTATCCTGAACACTTGAAAACCTAGTCACTACCCTAAACTGGTGTGTTCATAACGGATCTCGATATTAAACAGGGAAATAACAATATTGTTGTTATCCTGAACACTGGAAAACATAATGTGTTCCAGTGTTTTTACATCAAAAGTATTTTCCTGCAAGGTGGTTTCTTTCAGCTGGAGGTTTTATTCTATGACGTCATCTTCTTCTACTGAATTACCTTCGACATTGGTTCTTTGATTGGACGAACTCCCTGACACACCCGTAGTCTGGCTTTATGACACATTATTGATCGAATTGTCTGTGACGTCATGAAATTGCATGTTTTCCACTAAACCTTGACAAGAGACGTATTCCAGTGTAGTTTAAACCACTGTTGACCGGCAGAGACTGCTGACCTATTAGTATTGGAGAGAATGATGGGAGATATTTTACGGTAAGGTTGTACCAGTCTAAATATAAATAAAATAGCAGTAAGAAATAATGTCATAAACTAATTAAAACACTGTAAAACTAAGCCAACGTGTCGATGGTACTAGTAGGCCCTCACCCTCCATCTAAAGCGTTTGGCCGATTTAACAAAGTATACTCATCAAGGGTATTCAGAATATTTAACAAGTTTTACTTCAGATGTTATTACTAATATGTGGCTAGTCTGTAACTGTACTTAGAGAAGCCAGATCGAACGTTATGCACGGTTTCTCTTGTCTGTGAGGTAATGGACCGACATTCCTAAGAAACTGTATCCCAACATAGAGAAGCGTAGAAAACTCACATTAAACAGGGTAGAGCTGCATATTCAGCCACACTGAGCATGCTCGTACTGTATTGTTCGTTTCTTTGTTTTAGAATTTCCACCCAAAGCTATACAAAGGTTTATCTGCACATAACTGTCCTTGACTTGACCGAAAAGGGGGATTTACCCATCACACTTATAGCGAGCCCACATTTATTGGTATGTTTTGGATTTACCCATCACACTTATAGCGAGCCCACATTTATTGGTATGTTTTGGATTTACCCATCACACTTATAGCGAGCCCACATTTATTGGTATGTTTTGGATTTACCCATCACACTTATAGCGAGCCCACATTTATTGGAATGTTTTGGATTTACCCATCACACTTATAGCGAGCCCACATTTATTGGAATGTTTTTCTTCCATGTTTCAACTTAGTTCTCATTTCATCTTTAGCTTTAAATTTCAACTCTTTATGAAATATATTACCACTAATAAAAGTAAAAACGGGGGAAACCGAGTTTGCTTGGGTAAAAGTAATTAGCAGGATTAGCTTTACCAGAAAAACAGGAGTAAAAGTAATTAGCGGGATTCGCTTTACCAGAAAAACAGGAGTAAAAGTGGTTAGCAGGATTAGCTTTACCAGAAAAACAGGAGTAAAAGTGGTTAGCGGGATTCGCTTTACCAGAAAAACGGGAATAAAAGTGGTTAGCGGGATTCGCTTTACCAGAAAAACAGGAGTAAAAGTAATTAGCAGGATTCGCTTTACCAGAAAAACAGGAATAAAAGTGGTTAGCAGGATTAGCTTTACCAGAGAAACTGGTTAAATGTACTAGTGGGATTTCCTTCACCAGAGAAACGGGTTAAATGTACTAGTGGGATTTCCTTCACCAGAGAAACGGGCTAAATGTACTAGTGGGATTTCCTTCACCAGAGAAACGGGCTAAATGTACTAGTGGGATTTCCTTCACCAAAGAAACGAGAACAGAGATTATTAACAGTGTTCCCTTCTCCAGAGAAACTTCACTGTTATTGTTACTAACTGCTTTAACAGTGTTCCCTTCTCCAGAGAAACTTCACTGTTATTGTTACTAACTGCTTTAACAGTGTTCCCTTCTCCAGAGAAACTTCACTGTTATTGTTACTAACTGCTTTAACAGTGTTTCCTTCTCCAGAGAAACTTCACTGTTATTGTTACTAACTGCTTTAACAGTGTTCCCTTCTCCAGAGAAACTTCACTGTTATTGTTACTAACTGCTTTAATAGTTTATTCACCAATGTAGTAATAGGATTGCGATCCAAAGTGAAAAGTAAAAAATGCCTGAATGACAATGTAATTAGCTGTTCAAGTCTGACTTAGTCTGACATATACGTCATAGCCAGTCTTTATCAAAAACGATGACTGTTCTAAATTACCAACATAATGCCCAACTCAGTCGAAACCAGACAGATTAGCCAAGTCATTAACATAATACCAATAAAGATGTTGACCATCTTGTCCTAAATCTTCAACATAATACTGGCGTTTATGGTAAAGGTAGAACAAGTTGTCCTCAACCATCATAATAAAATTCCAAAGTTCCTGAGTTTTCAAGTGAAGTTAGTGTCATATTAACGTTATCATCAGGCCCTGGTGATGATTTTGTACCTGATGATAACGTTAATACGACACTCCTGGTGATGATTTTGTAGTGTCATATTAACGTTATCATCAGGTCCTGGTGAATATTTTGTAGTGTCATATTAACGTTATCATCAGGTCCTGGTGATGATTTTAGATGAAACAAAACAACTTTGATGGGCAAAGCACTGCGACTGTGATAACTTATTTGTACTTAACCCAGTTTTCTTGAGATGTAACATTTTGTGAATTCGAGATCGTAAAAGATTAAAAAGAAAACCTCTTTTATTTCATTACCTTTCTATAGACGCAGTTGCACTTACTGAAACTGAATTAAACCTCTTCAGCCCGAAGAATTTTTTTAAAAACTAAGAGTATATATTAGTTTATTTAAAGAGAAGAACAAGCTCTTCCCACACTTGCTACCCTCCTCCACTACGGAGAAATACAACCTGACTAAACACGTTCTGGTTTCTGTTGTATTAACAGTTTTTACATAGCTATGCTCGATGATAAACTGTTCGATCCACGTAGATTCCAGAAGTGGTTTGGCCAGATGTATCTTCGATAGATCGTCACAGTATACGTCAATGCAAGTATGTCGTGCGAGTCAAAGAAATAAAAAGTTTATAATTTTGTATGTCGCTAGATAAAGTTAGAACGAAATTCAGCAAATAAACAGATATGAAGTTAGGAAAAGGCGTTTAAAAAGAGTAAAATAAATCGGTGGTTAAAGAAAGCCAAGGTTATTACTAACCCACTAGACTAATACTAAATAGTAATCAAAATGTATAAGAACAGATAGACTTGAAGACTTTTATCAGTTCGGTTGTCATGGCAACGTCTGTGGCTGTAGAACAGAGGTGCGTTTAGTATATTCGTAGTACTACATGTGATACTTGCGAAACGCGAGACGGCATTACATAGAGTGTTTGTTGCGACACCACGTGAATAACTAATATATATCTAATCAGTTATTAAAACAATATTTTTATGTAAACTCACGCTGATGTTACTTAATTAAGGGTTCCTTTCACGTGGTTACTCACTAATGATTAGATGTCTGGTATGTACGTGTTCCTTTCACCTGGTTACTCACTAATGATTAGATGTCTGGTATGTACGTGTTCCTTTCACGTATTAACTCAATAATGATTAGATGTCTGGTATGTACGTGTTCCTTTCACGTGGTAACTCACTAATGATTAGATGTCTGGTATGTACGTGTTCCTTTCACGTGGTTACTCACTAATGGTAGATGTCTGGTATGTACGTGTTCCTTTCACGTGGTTACTCACT